CTTTACACTTTACAGAAATTTTAGATGAGAGAGGGAAAGCTTTTCAACAAAAGCAAAAGAAGTAATACTTTGTTAGAAATTTAATCTACTTCCACAATTATAACACACTGCATCATGTACCTTGACGTTTAAAACTAAATGTAGTGATCATCTTGTTAAAGGAAATTTTGTTGTATAAAGGTACAGAGTCCTTGCAAAGAATATGGAAAATTAAATATATGTTTTAAGACTTTTCTGCAGAGACAGGGAGATAGCATATGTCAATATTTACTGTTCTCACTAAGTCATTACAAAATGCTTGTTTTCATCTCTGAAAGTAATTTGCACAGTGGAGTTTTGCTGATAAAACATTAACTCTTAAGAGGTAGTAAGCACCTGCTTCTGTGCTAAGCGAGCAGAACACGTGCATGCCTTGAATGCACCACGTCTGGCCAAGTGCACTTAACTCAATAAAACTTTTTAAAGCTGAAAGATATTCAAAAGGGGTTGGGGACAGAAGACATCTATATCATGCCTAAGACATCTTACCACATATTTACTATCATAAAATAGTAAATTTAGCACTGCTAAAATGTTTCACAGAAGATACCTGCTAGCCAGTCATCTCCAGAAGAGATTTTTCCACCCCTCACTCATTCAGGAAAGCGAAGTCTATGGCCTTTCCAAAACCCATCACGTGTGTTTCTTTGCTGGTCTAAGGTTGGGAATCTGCTTCCCGCCCCCCTAGAGCAGAGCGGAGAGCCATGCAAACCGCGTCGGGCTGAACCGTGCCATGGTCGCTGCCTGGGGAAGGTGCTGGAAGGATGTCAGATCCTGTGTGTCAGAGAGGAAATAACACCAAGCGCATGCACTTGAAGGTAAGCAGCAGCTTGGAAAAAAAGCAACAGCAAAAGAGAGAGAATGTGATCTGGCACGGCAAGGTGAGCGCCGCTGCTCAGACCTCGACTTCTTGCAGGCTCGATCGGGAGAGCGGCACACGCCGTACTGTCTGCAGTACAGGGCAATCGCTACGTGTTTACACTGCACAACGTATTGAAAAGTATTTCTAAATGTGCTATGGTTTGGTCGCTGCCACAGAGGAAATGCAAATATTCATCTCGCAAAGCGCAGGTGTTATCCTAAGAAGGCATAGGTTTCTCTTAACGGTATTAACCAGATTTTAAAATGTAATAAATAAGTAATAGATAAGTAATTATCACTTGAGATTCCAGACCTTAAACCTTTCTGCAAGGCAGGCAGATGTTTCTCCATCCCCCCAGCTTCCGTACCCAAAGAGTCCTCGGAGAAGGACAGGAGGACTTATCCTGTCACTCCAGTGGTGCTCTGCTGCTGGGGCTGCAGGTGCAGGGCTAGTGCTGCAGCAAGCGCCATAACCAAGTATGAGCCAAAAGATGATGCCACAAAGAGCTCTGTGGATACCCTCTCTCCTCCTTGGACATCTCAGTATCTCTGTTTTCCAGACCGAGCAAGGGCTGTGACTGTGTGTGGATGTTCACGCTCTCCTCTGCCTGCCCCCCAGCCCATCCTCGCTTTGGTCTGATCTACCCTGGAGCTGGCAGAGAACTTCCTTCTTCTCTTGCTGCACGTGAATTTTGACCACAGTAACTAATCTGTCTCACCATTTCCATATGAAGAAGAACTAGGAAAGATCCAGTCTCCTGGAGGAAAGTCTTATCTATTAATATTACAAAGCTCTACATACCTCACCTCCTAGAAATGGGCTTTTCTACAGCTGAGAAACGTGCACCTTTTGTTCCTGCCCTTATTGAATGTGCATCACCGTGTTTGTAATTCTTCGCAAAATCTTTATTCCTATATTCTGGCGAAGACCGTCAGTGTTCACAAATGCAGAATAACTACCAGCAATTACACTGCCAATACAAGCCTTCAAGAAATGTACAGTGCATAACACCCTGCTACCCGTACTTCTTTTATTCCATAGTACCTGGGGGTACCAGTCCATAGGAAAGGACATCTGGGTCCTACTGGTGAAAACGGTGGTTTGTGGGTTACGATTTGTATGCGCCAGTGGGATTTTGGAAGGAAGCAATTCAGCACTTAAGCACGTTTCATCATTTTCATGTGTGGCAGGGGAAATATGTATAGTTATATATGCCCAAAGAAATCAGGAAGATTATTTTTGAACTGAAACATTTGATGTTTTTACAGCATTTATAAAATTCCTCTTAAACCACTGTTTTCCTTTTTAAAATTAGCATCAGTGTTTGTTTCCTGTGTGAAACCTGGTTTGCGTCTGACCAATTAAAGTGAAGATAAATGTGACAGGAAGCTGTTTTGAATACAGTGCCTCAGCTGCAGAATAGAGCTTTGCCAAGTAATCGAAGTGAAAGTCAGTATCAGTAAAAATAAATTGCACAATTCAGTTCCGGCTGGAAAATTACTACTGAGATGGGCAACTTGATGCCAACTATTTCTATTACTCTTCATTGCATTAGGCAAGGTAATAAATACTTCGCGAGAATAGTGCAGCAAGCTTTATTTTATTCCATATTATGGATATCAAACAATACAGCTAGCAAAAGATTGCCTTTAGGGCAGGAAAATGTTTTATTCTCCACTTCTGTGTAGTTGAGAGTCTTTCTGCTTGTTCTGCCAACAAAGATGCCAATTAGTGTCAAGTAACATTTTGGTACTGCTGATGAGATACAAAACAAAGGGAGTATAGTATGGTGAAATGAATTTACTGTACTAAGAGATAGAAAAATACCGTGGTGTTTTGTGGTTTTTTTTGGTAATTGGCCCTAGAATTCAGTGAGATGGGGAAAAAAAGAGAACACCACTCCTGCCATTTCGCAATTTATATCCCCAATTCTGTACTGGGAGTTCTCATTTCGAGCTCCCTTCTTAGAGGAAACCAGCATTACATAAACCTTCAAAATGCACAGATTGTATCCACTTACTAAGGTGAACCCCACACCAGCTCTGTGTTAATTCTGCTAGTACTTTTATCGGTATTCCTAACCCTACCTAGACAAATTGTTTCAGTGAAATCCAGAGGAGAATGAAATCTCCTGTTTAGGAGCATGCACAAAGCGTATCCACTTGTAACGATAAATCTCAAGGACATAATTCAGTTTTATTTTACTTCCATCACCCCCATCAAGTCAGTGTGAAATCCCCACTGAGTTACCTTTGCCCTGATAAAAGCTGAGTGAGGAAGATGACGGTACCTTGTAGTGAGAAGGCCACTTCCTCAGCAATCAACCAATTCCCAGCACCCCGTTTGCAGTCATTTCATGAGTTTCAAATCTCTTTCTAACATGGCGCTTTGCATGTGCTCTTGCCTGCTAGAAGAGGATGGGCAAGGAATAAATCTGCAAAACTGGCCAGGGCAATCCATAAAGGTGAGCAGGGCCAGTGCCGCTCAGGAATACCCCCAGAAACCCGGCTTGACGGGGGCAAAACTATTTCCCTGCCAAGGTGCACTGCTGAGCATTTGCCTTAGTTAATGAAACAACAGTTGATCTGCAATAAAAGCCACATCCTGACTTTCTTAGCTCTGCAAAGATTTCAATAGCAAAGTAAATCCAGCTTTGCACCCAATGTCAAGTCCTGACTTTATTTCCTCTGCAAAAACATCAATAGCAGTGTAAATCTCACTTCTGTCTTTTTTTTTTTTTTTTTCATTTTTTTAAGGAAAGTTTACCTTGTATATAATACACAGAGAATTCTTGGGTAAAAATAGGAATGAAATCATTGCTGCTCTAAAGAGGAGGGGTGGCATACCTTCCCTGTCTGTCAAGCTCCAAGCAGTTGGCACCCTATAAATCATAGGAAGCACAGGGGTAATTATAGAACTGGAAGCTGATTACTGTAAACATTCAGAAGTAGCTCCTAGTAATTGGAAGCTAAAGATAATGTGAGCATTACAACCACGAAGGAACTGTGCAGGTCACAACACCCCCATTTTTCTCCATTCCTTAAAGCTAGGTTTTCTTACAAAGCAACAAGCAACCTAGTCAATCTAGCACCTTGTATATTAACAACCTGTTAATATCGTGAATTGTTCGTTCTCTGTCAGAATTAGTGTTGATGTGACAACATTCGGATCACCAGGATCTGGTTACTTTCCCGTTGTGCACTGTATAATCTAAGCAATGTAGCTAAGAGCTTCTGCCAGCTTGTTCTGTCATCTCCTGGCACCCCTTCATCACTCTCAGAGGCACTGCAACGCGTTTATGGTGGAAAACGCCTGCTCACAGAAAGGCAACTTGCACTAAGAGTAGATGATGACAACATACAAAATGGGTTTTAGTGCCAGGGGTGTTCACGTCTTCGCCCTCGGGGCAGTATGGAGAGAAATCTCTGTCTCCTCCACCCTTAACAGAGGGAGCTCCTTGGTGAAGGTGCATCTGCCAGACACATTGTGCTGGACCATGAAGAAATATTCGATTCCTGCCTCAAAGAAGTTACACCATCAGGACAAATATAATAACACTTCAGCTGAAAGCGATACCCATTTTCTTGCCCAAACATACTAGAATGACTCTGCAACATGACCAAGAGGGAAAGCTTTTTTTCTGGCATCAAACTGTGCTCTGCTCCTGTCCTCAAACAGGAAGATATACAGAACCTGTCATTTTTATTCTACATAGAGAATTTAGCTTATTTATGGCTCTAATCCCTACTTGATCCTTACAAAGCTATTTACCTCAATTATACATATCGCTGATAGCAAGTTCTACAAGTTAATTACCACAAGTGTGGGAGCATTGATTTTCATCCATACCCGTATGTTGTTATTATACAATCCCAAATTCTAGCTGTATTCTGCATTTGAGGCAGAATTTTCAGAACTAATACAACAAGCTTTTGAAAAAGTCACCCTTTTATTAAATAAAGTTACCCAGACTCCTGTCTGAATTATTTAGAACTTGGACACATTATGACCAAGAAGACAAGAGCCCCTCCACATGATTTGAGCTGAAGAAAGTGCTACAAAAAGTGTAGCTTTTGCTACCTGGCAATAAATTTCTCACCATGCTGTATAATCCCGTGCTCCAAAAGTCTGCGGCCGAGCTGCTCTGCTTCAGTCCGCGTCGTGGCCTCTCCTTCCTGGATCAGCCAGTCAATGAACTCCGATGCCACGAAGGTCCGTTCGTACTTGACTCCTTCCTCTTCCCTGGCTTGCAGAAGAGTATTTTCAGAACTCATCAGCCTGGTACGGGGCGAAAAAATTGGTAGGGAAAATGGTTCTTCAGAAAAGCAACTCCAGATCTATTCTGGCAAATCTCACTGATATTAAGCAAACATATGTGAACCTTTCACTGACTTACTAAATCTTTCCTCAAGCTATCAATCTAAACTTAGGATGTGAATTATAACTGCTTAGTCAAGAAATTTAGGCTTTTTATCCCTGTTTGAAGTTAATGCTTTCTTGTTTTTTCCCTAAAAGAAAAGAGGGTTTTCCAGTTTCACACTTCCCCTATTTAGTTCTTTAGCTTCTCTAAAAGTTACTGTATAACCAACTTGGAAACAAAATTAGCCTAAAAGCACCAGATTGTGACTAATGTTTTCAAAAATTCCTAATTAATTTTTACAGGTAGCAGGACTATGCCCCGAAGTCACTTAGATGGTTTTGAAAATCTCCCCCTAAGCTCTAAAACAGCTGCAGAAAAATTCAAGAGGAATAAAAAAAGGTAGTTCTGTGGTCTGGGTGGTTGATAAATATTTAGCGTCCAACACTTAGTGATGCAGCTGCAATCGGTGAGTTACGCACCTGAATACATTTTAACATCTGAGTGTCAGAGTCTCTGTGCCCCAGCTGGCTCCGTGTAACACCAGAGTTCAGAGGAACATCCTGAGGTGTCTCTAAATCTCCTAGCAATTGGCATGGACCTAGCACAAAGATACTAATAAAATTCTTCTCCATTCAAGTAACCTATGCAAATGACACAGTATTAAACAAAAAAGAAAAAAAAAGCCTCAGTATTTTGCTAAAGCGAAAGTAAGGTTGACAGTTTGAAAGAGAAGACAGTTTGAAAGAAGAAATGAGAATCGTTCCTTTTTAATACAGAATCCCGTTTTTTTTTGTTTTATTGGGAGACTGAGCACCATAGCCTCCTTATTTACTCATTTCATTTTTCTTCATAATTATTTTATTTATTATAGGCTAATAATAGGACTAGTAGTAAGACTTTCAGAATAAGAGTTCAAGAATGTCATGGTTATTTTTTCCATGTAAGACTAATAAGTCCCCTCCCTTCACCAACTATTTTGAAATTAAGGGCACAACTGAACTACAACAGGAATATTCTGGAAGTGCTTAATCTTTGCCCTTCTGATCCAGAATCTGAATTTCATGTAAATCCATACATGGGCCATCTCCTTCTTAAACTGCTAGCATGTCCAGAGTTCATGGAATATAACTTCACCTCCTTTGGGAGGCATCAGAAAAATCTGTGCCATAAGAACACAGAGAGAAGTTTCATTTGAAATTACAATTAAGAGGTTTGGCAGGATCCAGCCCCTGTTATTTCACCTGAAAGATTCATTCCCTTGACTTTAACGAGAGCTAACCAGAAGCCTGAACTGACTGGATCTGACCACCAGGCAGCAGACCATCAAACCAGGCAGAGGCGGCTCAACCACAGCTGTATGTCAGTGGCAGATACAATGAACTGCTCGTTTAGATGTTGGTGCGTCATTGCCAGCACCTCTGAGATGAGTAAGAACTAAGAAAGTCAAAATTAGCTGAAGTCAGGGATGAGGCCCAAAGAAAGAGTATGTGCCACAGGGGACAAGGTATTGATTCCAGAACTCTTGCAAAGACTTTGTTCTTTTTCGTATTTTGCTTTACAAGCATCTGCATGCAAGGCAACATTTTGTCCCACACCAACCACATCTAATACAGACAGAGCTCCAAGTGACCATCTTTAAATGTGTCTCAGTCACCAGGCTTTTTTCCCCCCAGAAAAAAAAGCAAACCCAAAGCTCGTGTCTTTTCATACCATCTGCTGCATGGTTACCCGGAATTGGTTGCCCAGGCTCTGCAGGCACCAAGTAAAAAATCCTTAGGATTGTGTTAATTGTTTTTTTATGAGTCTATAATTAGTTGACCAGCTCATTGAAGTCACAGATAGAGAGGTCCTTGAAAAAGCGATGCTAATCATTAGATTTTTACAGAGACACAAAAGAAATCTGGAAAAATATCAAGTGGAAAAACACTCAGCTTGACATTTCACACCCTTCTGCGTGTGCCCAGAATAGCACTGCGAAGGATTTGGACTTGTGAACAAACAGACACGACAAATTGACAGTTTAACAAACCCAGAAACAGCAATACATAGACTTACATTGCTAACTGAAGTAAATCACTGTAACTCACGGCTGTCAACAAAGCTGTACCAATTCACATCAGCCAAAAACCTGGCCTTTCATTAGCCAGAATCGGAAACTGCCTCTATCTTTTCCATTTCTTCTTGTTTCAAAAAAACATGAGGCCATTCATGTCAAAACACATTATTTGCTAAAACTGGTGTTATCCTGCATTAAGAGAATGTATTTAGCCAAACACGGAAATTCAAACCCTTTTCAAAAGAAAATTTTAACCTTGTTTTATCTAAATAACTGCACCAGGGGATAAATTTGAATTAACCACTGATGAGTTAAAATGAAAGTGATTCAAAGAATGCAGTCTCAAAATGATTTCCTGAAATTAAAACCATAAATCTGCACTTCTTTCACTGTGAAATCTGGTTGAAAAATCTCGGTTGAAGTCAACATCATGAGATGACTTATAGCTCCTAAACCCAACTGCACCAGAAACAAAACAGTCCTCTGTGCCTGACCAAAACATACTGAGAATTGCAAACATTATAAAAATAGGATGCCTGCACAACTTGATTTTTTTTTTTAAAGCTATGAAAGGTCTGTGCTGGATTTATTTAAGATTTGCAGGGAGGGTTTTGTTGAACAGCAAACATGTTTATCTCATTCGATCTATTTGGTCAGTCCTGTAGAGTATGAAAACTGATACCATCTTTGGACCTAATAAACTATTCAACAATTTTCAGACAAAGCTGTAGGAAAACCAGTAGGTTTCATCTCTAGCTATAAACTTGAAACTCAAAACATGTTCACAGAAAGGATTACCAAAGTTTGTAATGATGTGCAGGGAATTTGAGCTGATTTATGATTTTCAGTGCAAATGAAGAGAGAATACAATCAGAGACTGATTTTATATCTTCTAATGGCACAAGCACGGCCACCGAAGACGTCCACAGTAGGTGAAGGAGGTAACGCCACAAGAAAGGAGAATCCAGGGTGCAAGAAGCTTTATGGTCACACAGAAGGAAGAGAGGGAAAGGGAGCTCCTCACCATGGGGACCTAATGTTGCCGCATCCCAGAACAGAGCACAGGGCATTTACCCGAAACAGCTGTCTGAATGCAGGGAACCTGCCTAAAGCGTCCATTCCTCTGCCCATGCAACAACCTGCTGATCCTCCTAAAGCATTTTACTCATTTTACCCATTGAGCAATGAGCCCATTCACCCAATCTGAGGGTACCAATGGACTGATGTTGGATAACACGTCTGCAATTTTTGGCAAGCACAAACTACGCTGGCTTCTGAATATAATGGTACTCCAGCCCTAATGCAGTGGGTGCAGAAGAGCAGGAAATAGTATTATAATGTCTATCTCAAACTAGCAAAGCCTAGTGAAGATCAGCAACATCTACAAAATTAGACACAGATTTTAAAAATATGTTGGATTCAGATAGATTTCCTTTGGCATAGTTACATTTCTCTTGAAATTAGGCCTACAGGCATTTTGATAAACGAGTTGAATATACTGGTAAGTAACTTCACATCTATACATGAATACTTTTCTCCAGTTGTTGCCATTTAATAACTATTTTAATTCCACTGAATTAATATTTTCTTTCTCAACATTATAAGCAAACTGATACAACAGATATATTACACATACACACATTTCATTGCAGAACCCTTTCTGTAGTAGTCTTACTTTCAGTATTAGATTTTGAGTTTAAAATGCATCCAATGAAACTGTGCAGGTGTCGCTAATAACATGGTGCATGGACAAGGGACCTAATGAAACCCCAATGCTCTGCACACTGGATTTGCTACAATAAACAAAGTGAAGCCCAGATAGCCCAGGTATGCATTCTTATCTCCCATGAATATGAAATATTTCCAATGATCCATGGAGAATTTTGAGTAGTTTTGACTGTCACAGATTGGTTTTGAAATGCCATGTATTTTTAATCTATACTATATTTAGCACTCAGGGCTGGTTTTAAAAGTTTCTGAACTCTTTAGGTATGCTGCGTAGGAGCAACCACCTCATGAGGATGCAGTTATATTTAGATACAGGTGCTGCTTTTGGCATTAACTCCTTTTCCAAGATGGGAACAATCTATACTGTTATGAACATTTTTCTGCTAGTATAGTGTTGGACAAACTGGACACTAGACATTGGTTTGGAGATAGTTCTTCACACAGAGAAATGGGGATGGAAGCAGACACTGGCAGAACAGAGTTCTTCCCACCATGGCTCCTTTCATGCAGAGGACTGTTATCAGCCTCACCAACAAAAAATGATTTTGCTCACAGAAGAACAGAAATAGAAATACAGAAAACAAATAGAAAAAAAGGTTTGCTACTGTAGACACACGGATAGGCTTTTCATAGTATGAGACAGGCTTGCAGAGTCTAAAGGAGCGAATGCTGTGCTTAGTAAGGCACAGGAGATTTTGGAGTTGAGTGACTCAATTCATCTGTCCCAGTGCACCCAATGAAGGATTTTTTCCAGTGGTGTAGTTTCTTGTGTCTTATACATTTTTTTTTTTCACTTGAAATAGTCACAGTCACTGAGTCTCAGGGAATTTTATATGATGGGTGCAACAAAAGGAGTGGCATTTACAATTATTGGTTTACATTTCAGTTTAATTGCTCTTTCACCAAATTGACCTTCAGAGCCTTCTAACCTTGAAAACAGTATTTATCATCAGCTTTTAAACTTGGGATTGTCCTGAGTGCTTTATTCTAAGAGGGAAACAAAATTACTCCAGCCAGAAGACACAGCACCCCTCCCGGCTGCTGCATGCTTCTGCTCTAACCAAGCAGGAGAGTGGGTGGGATTCAGTCTGGAGCAATACTTCAAGCTTTTTGGTAAATAACATATCACAACTTTTGCATTAGTTTGTAGCATACGCCAACATGCATTTTATTCACTCTGCTTGAAAGTACCGCGTGACAATCTCTACATCCTGAATAAAAATGTCATTAATTATAGATTGGGAAGTATGGTTAAGCTGCCTACTTATTTGACGGAAGTAATCCAGTGGGATATTCAGTATCTCAGCATAATCATCTGTTTCAAATCTTACTTAGATGTTCTTGGCTGGGATTTTTTTGAAACTACATTTAATATAACCTTTCTGATGTAAAAGCTTTGCAGGCTGGAACACTGAAGATGAATTTCACCTATTATTTAAAATCATACCTCCTGGTGAAGATACGGAGTCTCAACAGGTATGTAGCCACTTGTTCAGTACATGTTGATGTACTAAAGGTTTAGGTCTTGTGACTACAATTTTACATGACAAATCATCCATTAGTAATTATTTTTACAGAATAGAGTTCAAGGGCTTAAATTTACTTTGGGTAGGATGTATTTACAACCCAGAACATACATATAAGAAAATGCAATTTGCTTTTAAACAAAATGCTACAAATGAACATGGTAGAAAAGCGGAAGGGAAATGGGAGAGAGAGAGAAGGGTTGCCAAATACAGTCACAGGATTACCCAGATCCATTCCTGCATGATTTGAAAGACTCTGACCATTCAAAAATAGATTAACAAGTATTATTTGCCTCCTGTGGTACTATTAGCAACACATTATGGATACTGAATGCAACATACTTTTCATACAGTCTTTGTCCTCTCATGAAGACCTTCACCTCATTGTCCAGTGGAAACGTCCCATCATCTTTTCTGAAGCGGTAGAACAGTTTGACATCCTTGAATTCCTTATGCTCATCACAGACTGAAAGGTAAAATAGAAAAAGTTTTCATAGGGATGTTGAAGGAGTTGAGGATCCATTTAGCACGTATCACTGATGAACTTCAAAGCAAGCACGTATAGAGCCTAACCCCCTGTATTTCTGAGCATACAACTTTATTCAGTTCTAATAACTGATGAAAGGCTGGAGATAACTTTCAGATAGGTAACCAAATCTCTGGGTGAGGGGGATAGGCGTTCATCAGTTTTGTAAGTATTACTGCGAACATAAAGAACAAAAAAGCATCCATCTGCTATATACCCGGAAAACCTTTTGATGAAAACAGTCTGCTAGCTTGTTTGTCTAAAAGGCCACCAGTGTAGAACACCCAATAATTTAAGGATTGGCAAACTTCTTAAAGTTACTTGTATCAGTTGAGTGATGCTGTAAGAAACTTGATACTCGCTGCAGAAACAGTCCAAATCAAAGCCTTCTGCCCTCTTAAAATTGTCTCAATTGCTCTGCCATGCTAGCTAGCAAATGGTAGGTACAATAGGAGCACATGCAAAATGCTAAATAAGGTTTATAAGAGAGCAGCTGAGGATGGGCTCCTGTAAACACAGAACAGAGCTCCAGCAAGGGCATAAATTAATGGGAAAGATATCCCAACCAAGCTGCTCCTAGCAGAGTTGTCAGCCCATATATGCGGGCTCACCTTCTGCACCAGAGGAGCAGGAACTGGTACCCCTTTCACTTGACACGGGAGTTAAAAGGATGCTCTGAGCATCCTGCAGAACCTGATTGAACCTCTCTGAATTTGCCCTAGCTCACTTTGCAATCAGATTTATTAAATTTGAGTGCAATACATGATTTTTTTTACGGAACACCTGCTCTATGTGTAATATACACGCACATATATGGAGAAAATTTTTATGGAAGTTACAGTGTGCAATTGGATCCTGAGGTAGAAAACATTTGAAAGTTGTTAAAGCTTTAAACAAGCATTCAGCAATAGAACATCTATTGCTCAATTAAATTAAGTCACTCAGGCATCCACGCAACTCTTCACTGACATTTTCTCAATAGAGGATTAAGTATTCACATTTGAATACCCTATAATTACTTTATTCTTTAACTATCTACCGTGAGTCCCAGTTTCCATAACAACACAGAATTTTAATTTAATAGCTGAGCAGAAGCTGTAGAAGTGGCACTCATTCAATATGTGCATTTCTTCCTTTAATTAAGGTGTTGTTAATGTATTGCAGATAGCAGCAGTATTGCTGCACATACAGTGACCCCTGCATGAAGTCAATATTCATCTGTTCGCAGTTGCTCTGTTTTCTCTTAAAAAAGAAACAAATGGTACATTTTGCCTTTCTGAAATGGGTAATACTATACGCTTGAAATCAAGGCCTTGGATCTTCTTTGTTTGGGTGCCTCCTAGCCTTTTTGTGCACCAAAAGGCAACTAAATGCTACCACTGAATTGGAAGTCTCCTTTTCATCAGCGTAAATTGTTATTCAAGAAGCTGAAAGGAACAAATCTCAAATAGACAACAAGTTTAGGAGAAAATTAATCAGGGCACAGTCGGACCACTAACTTTCTTGCAGCTGTACCAGCACTAATGTTTGTGCAGCTGGTGTGAGGGACAGGGCCAGAGAACTAATCCACGTGAGAAAAATGGTCTTCTTTTGCTGGCTGATTTTTCAGATGGGTTTTTCAGCTGGAAAACTGTGCTCTGGGGAGCAGGGAGGTGAAGGCAGCAGGGAGAGAGGGGACGGGATCCAGCTGGGGCTGCTCTGGAGGCAGGGAAGCAGCAGCATAGACGCCAGTAACTTCCCCCCCGTGCTGGCATGGGGAAGGTCACTCCACACCTCTTCAGCCTCTCCGTGTCCCTCGGGACACAGGAGACCTTGCGGAGCAGCACGGTTCAAGGGAGATGCTCCCTTTCTGGCAGGGAAAGGATCCTACCTGTCCTATACTTGGTTGAAGAGCAGGAGTGGGATTTCCCTTTGTTTCACAGCAGTCAATAAAATTTAGCTTAGAACTTTTTAGCAGCTGGTACTACACTTACCGTGGTGGATAATGCTGTGATCCAATAATTTCTGCACCAGTTTAATTGCCGTCTCTCGGTCGGAGGCCTCTTTATGGTCAATCAGCCAGTCGATCAGCTCTTTGGCAACGAAGCAGTTCGGGTATGTCTTGAGGTGGTGCCGCCGATCTTTAATGACCTTTTCTTCATGCAGTCGGAGCCTGGGGGGTCAAATCACCTTGTGAATGTTATTTGCAAAGAGCCTCTGTAACTTAGCAAGGTTGGGACAAGCGTGGAGCAGAGGCACCCAAGCCCTGCTCGCAGGAGGGGCTTTGCAGGTGTTGGGTGGAAGAGGAAGAGACTCGGTCACACGTCCAGCGCTGGCGCCTGACCACCAAACCGCAGCAACCATTTGTTACAACTTTAAACCCTGTACTTGGAAAAACTGGTTTTCTGCCCACTGGAAAAGATTAAAAAATGAAGAACAGCACAGCATACTAAGCCCATTAAAATACTTCCTGTAGGTCAATTAAACTGTCAATAATTTGGAATTAATTTTTCCACATTACCACTAATACGTTCCATGTTACTCTTTTATTTTGTGATATCACTGCCGTAGATTTTTTTTTTTTTAATCATCTCATTCATTCCTTTAGCTGTAGTTTCTTCCTTAGTTGGGTAACTGCATTTTGCCTCCAGCTGCACAACAAGCATAGCATTTATGATTTAAAATTCAGGCACAAAGCCGTTCCAACACAATGTTATCTAGCATAAAAAAGTTGCCTCCTACTCCAAAGGAGAACTGATTTCTCACTTAGAGAACTGTTGGTAAATGCTATCTATTTGCAAAATCTCCCTCATCATCTTGAAAGCAAGTTGGTTGGCTGGTTTTGAGATGCTTGGGTCAGAATGCAAGATCCTGATTAGAGTATTACCTTGTTAGTAAAGGTTCTGAGGTTCTGCATCTTTATTTTTAGTCATTTTTTTCCAAATAAACAAAATGAATAACATTATCAATAAATTAATGGATAGAGGTTTTTCAAAGTTGTTTAAAGTTTTCTGCTTTCTTGTTTCCATTTTAATTAATAATTTTAATAATTCTGTTTTTGTAGCGCCATGTCTATACAACAGTTCTGAAGAAAGCATAGAAACCACAACGCTTGGGCTCCTATCACAAACAGAAATATTGCCATTCATTTCCAAGGGGCCACTCTCACTGACTTCAAAGAAGTTCTGAATAATGTTATAATAATTGTAGAGGGTACAACTATCTCTCTTTTCTAGAGAGGATGATAGTGCGGAAGGGTGTTAACATGAGCCTCAAGTAGCACAGAGCAGGAGTCCAACCAATTTTCCTTTCAATGTGATTCCAGTACGAAACAATCGTTTCTCTTTAGAATCAAAGAAAGGGAAAATATTTGGCTGAAATCAGTGAAGAAAATATTATTGGGGCATTAGACAAGGCTTACGTAGGCCTCTACCTAAAAATAGTAGCAAAGCAATGTTTTTGTTTTGCAGCATTTAGCCTTGAACTACACTGGAATGGCCAATCTGTGATATGAATTCAAAACCAGCTTTGCAAACATCATGAAAAAATGAAGACTTTTATATTAAAAATACTGATAAATCAGATTAGTATTCTGGAAAGAAGTGCTAGTAAATATCCCATGCGTTGTGAAATTCTCTGGGCTAAAATACCTTTGCTTAAAGCATATTTTCCAGATGTGCTCTAACAGCTGTTGCCGTACTTAGAAAGAAAAGCCTACACAGTTTTAATTATAGAACATGCAGTTATCAGTATGTCTGACTGAGCTTTACATTTAAAATATATTCCAGGTTCTGTTAATGTTTAACCAGTTTTCTGTTGCACAATAATCTGCAAGAACAAAAATATGAAAAGAGCGTATAATACATATGCAGATGGCTCGACCCAGCTTTCAGTCATCAGTGTAAGTCTAAATGGATGGAGTTCATCTGATACAAGTGGTAAACCGACTTCTAAGAAATTCTTTGTCCAAACATCACGTAGGAGTGTGCCAGGACTGGTCTGGCATTCCACAAACAAGCCAGTAGCCAAGAGCCCCAGAAATGCGCATTTATGTCTTAAATTCTGACTGAAGGCTTTCCTGCAGTTGGTAGGCTTATAAATATTTCAAGTTGTCTGTAAAAAACGCAGGTTCCCACTACAACCTTTTTCCTCACTCAGAGCATTTATAGGGTCTCTCTATATACCTTTTTGCCTATATTTGTAAAACTCATAGAAATTTCATTATCTTAATTATCTCCACCCGCTTGCCAAAGTGGATCCAAATTTGCTAAGAGGTTACGAAATCATTAAGTCAAACAGAGCATGACCACGTAAGCGTCAAGAAACCTGAAAAACCAAATTTATCCACAATTTCCAAATGGAAGCGGGAACTTTCTCTGCAGTCTATAGAAATTTTATCCATACTGAATTATGTCCAGGCTAATTTATGGAATAAAGAAGAGAAAGGCAATTCAGATTGTCTCCCTGGTGGTGTATGTTGTTCTCTCTGTGAGGGCTCCCTCACCTCTACAAACCTGCTAAAAATCAAACTGTATGCAGGAGAAGTAGCTCAGTAAATTGAAATGGTACCTAGTGTAAACTACAAATACAAAAGCCTCAGGTGAAGTTATTGAGCATATATTGCAGTATGCAAATCAAAAGTTTCGGCAGGAATTCTAAAAATGTGTCCATGTTCAGAAATATTTATCAGGAGCCAAATCAAATGGGATAAAAAGGAAAAAAATGTAGCAGTGAATGCAACCATACACTGGAACCAAAGCTCAAGTGAAGTGGTAAATTCTTTATCCCTTGGCATTGGGAAACAGGTTTCTCACCGCAAGACCTTCATGTTTTCCCTTTAAGCACTTTTCGACAGCAAGTCTGCATGATGACTGCAAAAGATCTAACCTGACACCAGCCCCTCTCGCTAGAAGAAGTTCTTCTCAAGAGCTGCTTAGCTCACCGACAAACCCTGACCGGTTTGAAGGGAGAAGGGGGAGAAGAGAGAGGGCAAACAACAAGGGGTGATTGGGGGACACCTTGATTCAACAAGCCTTTGAAAAGTTGTCCCTCTTTCTACAACTTAATAGCTTAACACCAGAAAACAATGTTGTGTGCACCAGTACATCATCCGTATGTCACTCCATATATTATTCAAGATTACCTGCCGGATTTGGCACTTGGGGCCACAGTGTCCCCTACCTGCAGAAAACAACGTGAGAACTAAAGTGTTTGAGCAATTGTCTGTAAACTGTAACAGGCATATGCAACCCTTTAATATTTACAAATTTGTATCTATGGCTCTTATTCATGCTTACAACAAATAAAGACAATCTGTATTTGCATGCGTGCGTGCCAGAACAATTTTCTTGGGGACTTGTCTAAACAGGAGTTGCTCCTAATTAACAACATGTAGGGACTCTTGCTCCAAAGAGAAGTGCCTTCCCCCTGCATAGCATGGACCAGGCTAACCCAGAACACTCTGCTCCTGTTTTGCAGTAAACGTGTTCAGAGTTAATCAGGAACAATGTTATTTGTTGAGACGCCGTTAGGCATTTTCTTTGCCAATTGTCAGAAAAGTCATGATAATGGAAAAATAAAAATCTTTGCCTAGAAATGAAGAATCAGGCACTAGCTTGGGAAGAAATCGCTCTCGCAGCTACATGAGACTTGCATTTTGTTTTCCACCAGGGAAATTAGGCGTTTTGAAGTTTCTTGCATCTTTTTCTGAACCAACGGGTAAGGATTTTGCAAAGGCAGTGCCTGCACAAGAGTCTAGCTTTCCTTTTAAGCCCCAGAAAAGGCGACCACGCTGGCTGAAGACAGTAATGATGTCACTAACTGGACCAGGGTCCAAATATCTCACCCAGCTATTTCCCTGTATTAAGTCTAGTAGTTTGTGCTTGGCTAACATAGATCTTGCAGAACACCATCCAGTCCTGATTTCTATATGTGAAAACACAAAGAGCCTCCTGCTCTTCTTGGTAATTTTCTGAATAATTCATCTACCATTCCCTAGTACATCCTACATAGTCCCTATGTTTATCCTAGCAAGGCTCAGTAAAAATGTGCAGGGAACAGGTTGGTTCCCAACACTCGACAGACGACATGGTATGAAGACTTTCATATTGTGCTCCACTCATTCACCTCTTTTAACTAGTGAGATACCTTCCTGAAGCAATCATACAGACACACACATATGCATACATATATATATTATATATGTGTGTATATAT